AGTCTGAGTGAGCCAGAGTCTCATTATCATTTATGCAGCATGAGCCATAATTTGGATTGATGTGACTGCCGTTTAATGCAAAGCATTAGTTTCCCCTCATACAATAAAAGCGCTTTACTTCATTTTGTTCATCAATGTATTGTGCAATTAATTCAGCCCTGCTTATTATATCCTGGGCTTGCATGTCATGGACTCAAGGGACTTAGAAATGTCTTAATGATCTCAGGGATATGAAAACAATGAGAGCTATGATAGACATTATGCATTTGCACGTCTCTCACACCTATCTGATCTGGGGGGGGTTGGTTGTTTTTTATCTCTGCTTTGCTTTGCTTTGCTTGTACCTTGTAAATTGCCTCTCTGTAACCTGCTGTCTCTGTTCCCTTCCCTAGGCTTGATAACTCAAAGCAACATAAACATGGTGAGAAAGATAAGCAGCAAGTTAAAGAAGACCTGCAGGGAGAAGCAGACAACCCAGGAGACTGGAAACAGGATATGGAGATTTTCCTGACTGGAAGACTGGTCCAGGTGAGTTCAGCTCACTGCAACTAACATCCAGCAATTAGCTGCTTTATGTCAAATATATTGGTGGTATGTTTTGTGCAGACTGAGTAAAAACCTAATACACAGCTGGCTCCCTTCCTGACATCATAAAAGTGAGGCTAGTAAGGCAGAAGTGCTTTCCTTTGTGTTTTCAGGACACTGTACCCTTGGTGGGTGAGGTGATAGAAATTCTGTGGGGAAGTAGAGGAGCTAATGCAATTGCTTCTGCTGTCCTTATCTGTCCCCCGGGGATGGAGACAAGCTCACCCCTCATAGTTCCGTCCTTCTCGTCCCTCACTTGCGATCCAATCTGGAGGTAACTAAAGGCTGCATCTGACACTGGTGTCTTTGAGTTGTGCCTCTGGCTGGGGAGCTGAGAGCAATGAAGGCATCAGCTCAGCCCAAATGCATGTATTATCAATAGAGCCTTTCTGAATAAGCAGTGAGGAAGGGCATATAGAAGTTGCCCTGGCCCTACAAACTCCCTTTTAAATCCCAGTGGGAAATCAGCAAGCAGAAACATTATTTGGATTGGAGGGGAAACTGAAGGCATTTTGTAATGCTGATGGGGAGCCTCCTCCTACAACTTCCCTGCAAAACAGTCTATGGCAAGATGAATTGGGGAGTGGAGAGGGTTACACTAGTCTGGTATCTTGACAAGCACACTTGAAAGTCCTTTCCAGTCTCCGCAAGGAAGAGCTGCTCCTCTGTTTTCCTAAAATCTAACTAGAGCTTTGAGATATAATTGAGGGACTACTCTTTGAGATTCACTGGCACTCTAGAAAATAAAGTGACATACCAGAAATGGGTTTTATGGAGTACATATGATCACTCAGAACATTCCAAGAAAACAACAGATCTCATTTTTTCTGATAAAAAAATAGGAAAGCAATGCTTTTTCCAGGCTTTATGTAGCAGAGAGTGACTGGCATGAACTTGAACAATTTAGTATAGCATGGCTTTGAAATTGAAGCACTTTCACACGCTGTGGATTGACAACAGGGTAATTACTGGGGGGGTGGGGGGAGGGAGGAGAGAGGGTTTCAATAAAACACCCCTGAGCTAAAATGAATGCAGACTATTACAGACCTGAGACAGAACGATTCCCAAGTGTTTTAATTTGTGCTTCCACTCCTTGTCTCCCTTGCAGTCATCATTTTGGCAACTGCCAGCAACATCCCTGAGATTCAACAGCATTTGCAGAGCAGGCAGCTGCTGAGATGATTATGTCAAATCAGCACGCTGTCCTCTCTTTTCCCTGTCTAATGATTCTCACCCTCGGAGAAGTGGTTTAAAATGATGAATACTCCTTGGACTCATTGTGAGGCTGCTAACAGCAGTAGCTGTAGAGCAAGAGTTTGGGTGGGACTCTGTCACTCACCTTTCTTGCATGTGTGCCCTGCAATTAACTTTAAAAATTATTCCACAGAGGCCTGCTATGGCTGGTTTGGGCCTGATCCAAAGTCCTTTCAAGACAATAGAAAATCTTGCAAGCGCTCTGGCTTAAGCTCTTTGCGGGCAGTAGAGAAGCCGAGCTTGTGTGAATTCTTAATTTGAGTTTCTCAAACAATCAGTTGAGAAGAACATGTAAATCAAGACTTGCTTGACATTTGTCTGCGTCTCTCTTGTTCAGACCTAATGCCCTCAAAGGCAGAACTGTCACTGACTGCAGTGAGACTGGGAGATACAGGGAAGGAAGGGGAAAGTTGCTAAATGTAACCCAGTGATACTATTGCTCTGCAGCTGCTTCCATGCCCTTGAGACAGCACAGAGCGGCACTAAAAAGCTTTACTACGCTCTCAGGAGTGGGTTGGACTTGTTGGACAAATGTTCCCCTAGGGTTTTATATCACAGGCTGGTCTTGCATTCCACACCTTGGCATGTTATTTACTCAACAGCTTCCCTTTGCACTGCAATTGCGAAGTCAGTAGTTGATCTGGTTGCTACATAAATCAGGTTGTCTGATGCATTTCACACTGCTGTGGCTGTGCAGCACGTGCCTGTGCCACTGCTCACCCTTTCTGCTTCACCTCTGCAACATCACTGTTTGATTCAGAAAGAACGAGTCTCGGTCATGGGCTCTCTTTCTGAAATTCCAATGTGAGAAATCAATCCAATAGTCCTGTGACTTGATTTATGATAATTAATCAATTTTCACTGACCTTAGACATGTAACTAATCCCACCAATTAAGAATAATCTGTTCTTTATATTCAGAGTTAATAGCAGACCGAAAGCTGAAAAGCAAGAGCTGGAAATGCAAGTCTCCTTTTGGGAGTCTAAAAGCCCTGGCTTTAAATTCAGACTTGCTGTTTAAGCTTGCTGGTATTTCTCATGACATGCAGCACAGTCTTGCCCAAAACACTTCCCAGGATCCTACAAGGATTCTGTATGTAGTGTACGGGGCAATGAATACCTGCATCACCAATGATAAAGGCCCCTGCAAAATTCCCTGCTTTTTTTCAATTGCACTGTTCCAATACAGATCTTGGCTCCTATATTGAAAAGCAGTGTGGTATCAAAACCTGGCTTTGATAATGGCTGTGCATGTGGTTCTCACTGGTGTCACACAGACCAAGGTTTGAGAGCTCTGCAATTGACTGTGATCAATTAAGGCCTTTTTCCCTTTATGCTTCCACTGACAATAGCACTGGCAGCACCACCCACTAGTCTGAATCTAGGCTGAGGGAGGGGCTGCATTTCTCTCTCTGGGTTAATAAATTGCATCCTTGCTGCCGTGGCATATAGCTGGAGCCAAACCACCTTTCTTTACTCCTGTCTTTTGGGCTAAGACTGTATTGCTGTAAGCAGAAATCTAAATAGTTACATCCAATTGAGTAGTAGGTTTTGCCTAAATACTCCTTTAGCATACCTCCTAGCAGCGCAGGTATATGTGGGTCAGAATGAATATTGTATTCATAGCATATTTCTGTGCTCTTGACTGGGCACTCATCATATTAGAGGCATAAACTATTACGCTAGCAGCATTTGAGTGAATACACAATGCAGAGTGACACTGCAACAGAACAGGAGTACAAAATGGAGATTTGCCTACCTAAATGGAACACGGAGGTTCAAGGAAGCAGCATAAAGAGGATTCTGACCACAGCACCAGGATTAGTATTTCTATTCCTGCAAAAAGTGCTGTTCATCTCCAGGTTCTTGAATTTAACATTTAAAAGGCTTCAGAGCTGCCTCCCAACAGAAGTCAGGGTACTGGGGCGTTAGCAGTAGAAAAGAACATTTTTACCAACAAATACTACTCCTGCTTAACACAGGTAGGCTGTGTGGCTCCAATGTATCACTGAAGTCAGTAACTAAGTAGTAATATAAAGAAGTTTTAAACATCTGGATGGCTACACCAGGCAGAAACTGATGCAATTTGAGTGAGGATACAGGGAAGCTTGAATCCTCAGTTTGGGTAGGGAAATATTTCTACCAAGCGGCACACCTGAAGTCATCAGTGCCTCCTGTTGGCCAAGTCCCTTATAGGCCTTTCAGGGTCCTGCCACATCCTTAGGTACAGTCAAATAAGCAGAAGAGTTGCACAAAGGATATCCATCATACCTTTATTTACATATCATGGAAACACACATGCAACATGTCACAGGATTTACTACAATGGAACAGCCTGTCCCTATATCCTGTTACCAAAAACCTTTATTTTTGGCTCACTAGGAAAACTATCACTTCCCCAGAAAGCTCCTAAAAATAATCATTAAAAATAACAGACTTAGCAGGATAACTAAATGAGTGAGAGCTGCAGGCTGGGATGCCTTGCCACATCCTTGCAGAAACCAGGTAGTTCTCTAGAAGCAAGGAAGGAAGGAGTGAGACTGGATGGTCCCAAAGACAGGGAGGCAGTGGTAGTGTGTAACAGCTAGGGAATATCTGTCTGTAGCAGTGAACAAGGGAGAGAGCAAAAGCTTTATTATCAGAGGGTCTCCTCTCACCTAGGCAGCCAGCTCCCTGCTGATCTGTTTCCCATCTTTGACTTCACCTGGAGGCTATAAGCTTCCTATCCTCTAGGAACCTCTGATCCTTAAGGAGGGTCTACCTTTCTTCTCAAGCAATAGTTAAGGGGTAAAGTTAAAGCTCATATCCCCTTTGACTTGAATGATCTTTCATATTTTGCCTCTGTGGAGAGGAGGAGATGAAACTGCAGTGCCTTTTCCTGCCAGGACCATCAGAACGGTGACCATGATCATCTCTTACTAACCGGGAGAGAGGACCGAGCTCAGTGTCAGAAATGGGCTGAGGGAAGGGAGGGGGAATGCAGTCCTGGTATGGGAAAGGCTGAGGCCACTCTTTGTAACTAACATGAGCTTCAGTCTTGGAACCTGGCATGTTCAGATCCTGCAAGTCAGTCATTTGCTTGACTTTTTCCTCTAATTCCCATTGCTAGGTATAAACAGTTTGACCCCAGCTCCTGACCATCCAGGCAGGAGTCCCACCCTCCTAAACATTAATAAATGATCCCTGCTCTCCATTGGCTGATTCGGGCTCCACGCAGCGCCCTTTCCTCCGGGTCACTCTTCGGTTCCGGTGGAATTTGGCATAACAGCGTAGCCCTATGGAAAAGACAAGCATAAGCGAGCAGGAGGGATCAGGGCTCACTACAGCAGTAACACCAAACATTAGCTCTTGGCCTCAGTTCATGACAAAGCCTGCTGCGGTGGGGACAGTCCCAGAACTGGGAAGCCTGGGCTGTGTCAAATGAGCTGGCAGAGAAATGCCTCACATGGGCAGGCCACATTGCTTTCTGGGCCCTGCTGTTCTGTTCGGCTCACTCTTCCCATTTGGGATTCATTGGCTCAGGCAGAAGGTTTCACTGACTTCCTGAAATACCAATGAATTATCCTGATTGTTTCCAGTGATTTTATGGAAGCCCTGCTTGGTTTCCCCCTATTACTTCCCATTACTGTCTAAGTGATCTCTCCATTGGGAAATTACTAGAGACTTAATGTGCAGCAGCAATGGCTAGGGAGCTCCCCTTGCTATTTATTTCCCTGAAGCTTCAGAAGAGGAGGGAAGAGACTTTGAAGTGTTATTACTGTAAGGTCTGATCCAAAGCTCACTGCTGATCTCCTTCATTTTCTTTGTTTTGGATGCTCAAAGCAGGGTCTGAGGGAAGCTATCTGATATAGCATTGATGAATACTAAGGGGGGAAAAAAGGCATTTTATTTGTAAAAAACATCAGTACATATTCTCCCATGGCAGTGGAAGGCAATGGGAGCCTCTGGTCAGGATAACTCATTGGTTTCTGGCACTGATAGATCTATCTTTTCTTGTCTATTGTCTGACTTTGTTACACCAAAATGTGTAGCTAGTTGGGCCAGACAGGGTACAGCCTATGTGTAAATAATTCTCACGAAAGCCCTCATTTTCAGTAGTCCAGGATCTGGTCATTGAGGTTGGCATGAGCTGATTTGATCATCCTAGAAACTGCAACTCTTTCTACTTCCAGAGCAGGCAGCAGATAGCAACAGTGCCAGCATCCCGAGTAGGGGAAGGCTGAGGATTTATAGCTTTTATAATGAGACAGCCCATAAACTGTCTTTGAGTACTCATACACGGGAGACCCCAGGATGTCACAGGTCACTGAGCAGCCTTTTGGAGTGCATGTCCCTGGGCTATGTTGAGACCAGCTACCTTGAAGTTGGGTTTCTGCCCCTCATTACCAATCCCCCCAGGGCAGTCTGGCCTCCCAGAAGGAGAGCACAAAAGATCAGAGCTCTGCTCTTATCTAAGCATCTTGTCTATCTTATCGGGACCCTACATCTCTGGGGATCTTTTTAATGCTACAGAGGATGCACATTTGGCATCAACTTATAACTAGCTTAAGTATAAAGCAGGGCCAGGGGCAGCCCTCGTTAGGCTTGAAGAAATGCTTTTCTAGGCTAATCTATCAGAACATCGTCTCTGATGAGCACCTTCAAGTGTTAACTGACACACGCAAGGTGAAGACTATCATTTAACATTGCAACTCCAGGAAAACAGTCTGTTTAACTGGGTAAAAAGTAGGTGGATGACCTGGTCAAAGTCACTAGGTGTCTAACATAGGTCACAAAAATTTGGCAACCAGAGTTTTGTTCTGGCAGACAAGACCCGGTGCCTGGAGCTGATCCTGAACATGTTCAGACTAGAAGAGTGCTTTTCAACATCTTCATAACACAACTGTCTATTAAGGGCTGCTGTGGATTCTTCAGAAACAGTTTTAAGAAACAAAGGTCTGTGTCCTGCCCACACCTAATAAATTGCAACAGGTTCAGTTGAAATTAACTCAGGAAAGCCATATTAGGCATAAGGTCGTGTAAAACAAGGATAGTAGTCTGGGTTTTATAGCCTGTGATACTTGAAAGCTCCATTGAAGTGTTAACATATTGTGGCTTCTTCAGTTAGGTTTGTAGATATCAGGATTTTTGTTTTCAAGAGGGAAAAAATATACCCTAGATGACTCAATGGTCACACTGTGAGTTGGTGGCAGGGAAAGGCTAAGAGCAGCAGAGCTTGGCTCCTATTTTCACACACAAACCACTATTCTGAGTCAACGCAGCCAGCTGGAAGGGGGAGAGCAAAAAGCTGAACTCACCTTCAGTGCACATACAGTCATCGTAACATTTGTTGTTAAGGCCTCGATTGTGTGGTTTGCAAAGATGTTCACGCAAATCGCAGCAAGAGCCTGCAACACAGGAATAAGGGTCAGCACAGCTCATTTATCCCCTTTCCTTGTAGGGCTACTGACACCCACGACAGCTCCATAGGAACATCATCTGTTCCCACAACACGCCTGGAGAGCCTCTGCCCTTCCCTCTGCATATCACTTTCTATCAGTATTAAAAATCAGGATACTTGTATTAGAACTGGGCTGGATTTTAAACAATCTTATGTTTGGAGAAATTACTCTACTAAGCTGATGCTGACCTGGGAGGCAGTCAAGGTGATGATCACATGGCTCTCCTTCGGCCGTCATGGTTTCATTTCCACTGGTGAGGCTCTTACTGCGGCGTTTCTCTATGGAAAAAAAAACAGATGCTGATAGAAAATTTCATGCTAGTGGTTTTATTTTGGAGACTGCATTGTTCCAGGGTAAAAACAGCCTCAAACTTCAAGAGTTCGAACTCTAAACCTTCATAGTCTAATCTCCTCCCTATTTCTCAACCCTCCATCTATCATTTTAAGTCTGCCCTCAAACTATGCATCCAAAATGAGAAACATTCTGAAACTGAGCACAAAACACAATCAGCATTATGCTTTTTTCTCTCTTTCCCCATCATTATGATCTCACATCACATCCTTCAGCACATCTGTGAACACTGACCACGGGACAAGCCTTACAGAATTACTTTTGGGAAAGAGGACAGGGAAGTTTAGCACCTTTCTTTTTAGCAGATGGCCACATTTCTGGTTTGAGATCCTCATAATCTGTCCAGTCAAAGAGTGCCATATCTAGGGTGGGCATCACATCCCCATCTTGCCTGAGGCGGGCCTGCAAACCACAAGAAATCAAAGAGACAATGGATTACACTTTTGTAGTGACACTGAAGTGTTTGTAAATTTTCCTGGTGCTTTCAGACCTTAAAAAAAGCTTTATGATTTCCCCACTGCCCTCCACCCCTGTCTTGTCCACTGGGGATTCTTGGCATCTCATTTTCAGAAGGGAAGAGCTTTCCCTTGTTGCAGCTGAAGCCAAGAGGGAAGTTTCCACTGCTTCTATGCGAGGACAAAAGGCGAGCAAGGAGCATTAGGAAATGCTGCCTCTCCAGCCAAGTGCTCCTACTGCCTCTCTAGCCCTTGAAGCTGAATGAAGATGGCTAACTAAGGGAGAGGAAAGAGAAGCAACTAAAGGAACTGTTTATAAAGAAGATGTTTAGATGTCTCCAAGACAGAGAGCTGCTTTTGAGGAAGGGCTTTGGTGTAAGCAAGCACTTACCTCTAACCAAAAAAAAAGTAAATGGGACCTTAGCTGCAGGAGATTTCTGTCTGCATCAGAGGTGCGGTGCAGTTACCAGCTATCTATTTACCTGTGACCGTGGTGATGTGGCTGGAAGAACAGGAGGCTCTTCTGTGGAAACAGCTAGTTCCAGTGCAGTGAAGAGAAGCATGGTGGGAGTCAGACTTGTAGCTTCCTCTGCCTGGAGGTTTTGAAACTGTGCTTCAAAGCTTTCAGGTTTCTTGTACAGGGAGCTTGGCCCAGCATCAGGAGTCTTCCCTGCAGAAGGCAACAGGTACAGTAGCATTAGCTTTCTCACCCCTTTTCTCTCTGTGTGCCATAGACTTGAGTCAAAGGAATTCAGATTTCACCCAGCCACTGGCCAGTGTTCTACCACCCTGAGCTGCTGTTTAGACCACTGTAAAGCAAAGTCATGTGCTATCAAAGTGATAGATCAGGTCCAGAGTACACGCATCTTGGTTTTTACACACTTAAGTCATACATAATCACACCTTCTTGAAGATATGTCTCTCTCTTGCTTAAGAAGCAAAGGATTTCTTCTGGTCTCAAAGAGTACAAAATGTACCTGTTTAACCATTTTTAAACCAATGGGTTAAGCTGCTGCAAATACCTGTGGACGCATTCTTATTTGATTTTAATAGTGGGCTATGTCAATTTAGCTCGTCAAGATCTACCTAACTTGAAATAAGAATATCTTCACAGCCTGATACCTGCTTTTCTTAGGTATTAATTTAAATACAGACCTTAAGTTAAACCTGTTTTGTAGTCCACAAATATTACTTCAAACCAGCTTTGTTGCATATTCTTCCATGTTGCTTAACATGAATTGTTTAGCCAGTCCTCTGAGAAAACAACAGAGCTGCTCTTACTGATGCAGGGAGGAGTGATAGCTGGAACTCAGGGATACTGACACCCAGCTTGACAAACAGTGTAGATTGACACAAATTTCCTGGCTTTAATAGAACTAAAGATTTACCACACTGAGCACACCATACCGCAGAGACACACACCCACAACTTGACCTGCACAGTCAAAAACAAGCAACATTTTAAAATAATTAGTGCAATTTCACATATGCATAGATTTTTTTGTAGTTCAGCACAAATAGAGATGAATACAAGCTCTGATGAGAAGAAACTGATCTTCAAGCTAAGCAGGGGTTTTGTGTTATTTCTAGTTATCTTTCGAGAGATTGAGCATGGCTTGGACAAGTTTGAACCATTCACTAAAGAAGCAAAAAAAAAACAAAGCAGGCCACCCCAAACAACCCCTCAAGTCCTGGGAACTTTCAGAGCTCCCCCTGTAAGGCAAACCAGGTCATTTTCACAAAACTGCAGCCAGCAGTAAAAGCCTCTGGTTCTGGAGTTCCCTTTTTACTTGTGCCTCTTTTGTTTGGCAGATTTCTCCCCAGAGCAAGCACACACCCCACACCCTCCACATACCCATGTGGCTCAACCACAGCTGCATCTTCTTGCCCTCACACAAGCGACACTCATTTTCACTGACCCAACAGCCTCAGCTTCCCTTGGAGCTCAAATACCTCTGTGGTGTTTCAGCCTGTCCCTGCGGCTGTGTCGCCGATGCTCTCGGTTTTGCTTCTTTCCTCTCTCAGATCCAGGGGACTGGTTTTCCCTCTCAGGATATGGGAACTCAAAACCCAGGAACACATCCTTATTCTGTTTCAGGGCTGCTGGCTGTCCCTCTGCTGCCAGCTCTTCCACAGCTGGAGCTCCGCTACCCATTCTGAGGGCCTCTTCCCCAGCTAGCCGCCCTCTAGAAGGCATAGCATGGACTCTCTCCTTCTTGGCCAAGCCATGCTTGTGGTGGTGCCCACTTCTGGGCTGCTGCAGCCACATCTCTTGGTTTTGAAGATGGTTGTTGTTCTCTGGGACATTTTTGAGCTTTGTGCCAGGCTCCAGGGAGACTGCAAGACTGATGTCAGAAAGAACCAGCATGCACAGGAAAAGGAAAGGAGAGAAGAAGGTAGAAGTTGCCATAATCCTGGGTGCTCTGCCTCACCTGAAATTAAAAAAAAAAAAAAAAAAAGCAACCAACTTCTAAGAACTGTAAAGGCAAGCAAGATTCAGACCTAGGACACTTAGGTGAAAACAGTTATGGTGTCCAGAGCTGGAAGTGATTTTTTTTCCCTCCTTGGTTATGTCCTCCACTCCCAGCCCTGGTTACAGCAGCTGAGACACACGTGCAGGGCCTGCGGGGCTTAGAGGTCCCAGTTTCATGTGCAAATGAGGGCCATCAATCAGTAGGACATTTTCCTTTGATTCCTGACTAGCCCCCCTACCCTCCCATTCACAGCCTACCATCTGAGGGGCTGGGGAGGCTGGCTTCTGCAGGCCACAGCTCCCTGGCCGTTCCATAGCACCAGCTGTCTGGCTAGGGCTGTTTGCTGCCAGGTTGGCATCCTGGGTCTGGCTGGCACTGGCCCCTCCTCACAGCTGGTTTCCTTGCAGTGAAGATATCAAGATGAACAGAACTGGAGGCAGATGGTGGCCTCGCAGGAGCAGCAACAGCCTTGAGCAGCTCAAAACAGAGACACATGTGCGTGCACACACATACTGCTTCAGGGTGGCTGAAACTGGTCAAGGGAAGAAAAAACACTGGAAATTTTGTGCTGATATCTCACAGTGTAGCAGAGACACAAATCTGCTGTCAGCAGAGCAGGGGGTGCTGGTCTAAAGACCAAGGGCCAGGGAGGCAGACTGAGTTTTCTCTAGCTTGTGCCACTTTCCCTCCTCAACCCTGCACAGGTCACTTCACCTCACCCCAGCAGGCGAGGCTGTCACCGGGAGGGTAAAGTGGAAAGAACACTGAGACCGAGTCCCTCAGCACAGTGGCTGCAGAATATTCCCATTCATTCTGCTTCACTGTAATATTTTCGAGGCTCTTCCTTCATCCCTGTGTTTGTGTTATGAGACATGGCTTTGGGACATTGCACAAGTCAGACATTTCTCCAGTTAGGTCATTTTCCCTTGTCCTTTCCTACAAAAGGGGGAAGGGGTTTTCAGCATTTCCTATGCAGCCTTTCACTTTGGGGTAGCTTTTTCAGACTGTCCCTCTCAAGCTGGGCAGCATGAAGGCATGCTTAAAACCAGAGTTCCCTGTGACACTGACTGCCAGAAAGCCAGGCCTATGCTTACATACGAGAAATACTGTCACAAAGTTACAGGCACAGCTCTTCACTCAACCTCCTCCCCATCTTTCCTGCACCCCAGCCCCCCGCTGCACCTGATTTCCATCTCTCTGTTCACCAGGTGAACCACTTCGCTGCATAATTATAATGGCTTTTATTCCCTCCTCCACCTGCCTGGCTGCTTTGCTCGA